TATTAATCATACAGTAATGTAGTCATATCACCTACCATTTATTTTCTTCACTTTTCAGCATGGAATATACCTTTAGTTGTTCCTTTGTAGCCTATGCATGCTGATGCAGCTACTGTACCTATTTGAACTGTGGTCAGTTAGTCTGAAGTCTTATGTTTTTTTGCAGTACCATATAATTCAGTACTACAGTAATGAGTTTGATATCATTTGGTCTTCTCCATATACCTTTTGTTTCTATACCTATTGTTTTATTTACATTGTTTAAGCATCAAAGAAGCCTATCACTTATAACTGTAGCAATTTCACTACGTTTCCAGGTAAATGACAATTGTTATGTAGCAGGTGCAGTAACATTTTATTGAACCAGTATGTCATAGGTTAATTCATTACACTGATTAGCATTTAGTTTCAATAGAGTTGATCAACAGTGAAATTCACAGGCTAGTAGTAGCCTGTTTGTTTTGGCCACTGTTTGAAGTTGTACAAGTAGTACATCTGCAATGCATACCTCACGCTAGGTTACAGATCTCTTGTGGGATTTTGTCCCGTTCCTCTTTTAAAGAGTGCCTGGATAAGCCTGACAAGTTGTGCCATGATGCCCAACTGTCACATTCTCATCTTGGAAGATAGCTGGCATGTGTTGTCCTTTAGGGCTCTTTCTTCTCACAGAAAGAGCCCACTGGAATGGCAGAAAGTGAGATCCTAGGACTTGATTCATGTTGTGCAATCAGATTGCTATTAACCCCTAGAAGTATACATAAACCAGTTAATGTATTGCTCGGTGCCACGCTCATTAACGTCCAATAGTGTGTTGTATCTACTAGTGATAATTGCTATACCAGTAACTTTAAAATCCATTGCTTTGAAGTCACTGTAGTATCGCAGACAGTCAAGACAAGAAAACACTTTCTGTTTTTTTACAGATTAAGTTCAAGAGCAGATGTCAGTCTTGTCCTATACTCATCAAAGAATCAGATCCATTAAACTTGAAAAAAACTATGGTGATGGTTAACAGCCAAAAGCATCTTTCTCTCTCCTCCTATAACTAGTGTATTGTTGAATTAATAGTGCTCTAGCTTATTCTGTAGCAACATTTTATTTGCTCAGGTGGCATACAGTCCCTTTTTTAAAGTTAACCGTAGCTTTTTTGATCATTTTAATTT